GATCAGCCTGGCTAACATGGTGAAACCCTGTCTCCACTAAAAATACGTAAAAAAATAGCTGGGTGAGGTAGCCGGCACCTGTAATCCCAGCTACTCGGGAGGCTAAGGCAGGAGAATTGCTTGAACCCTGGAGGCAGAGGTTGCAGTGAGCCGAGATCTTGCCACTGCACTTCAGCCTGGGGGACAGAGCAGGACTCCGTCTCAAAAAAAAAAAAAAAAAAAAAAAAAACCATAAACACACACACAAAAAAAGATTACCTATACCAGTGTGAGACCACTAACAAGTCTTGGCCCCAATCTGTTACTTCATTTCCACTAAAACATAAACTCCATTAGGGTAGAAACTTTCATCCACTGTATCTCCAAGACCTACAACAGGGCCAACAAATATGAAAGTACTCAATAAATATTTTTTTACATAAATAAATGAAGAAAAAGACGTCTTCCATAAGCCAAGAATAAGTTACACCTACCACACCCATCCACTTTGGTTATTTACAGAAGCTCATCTGGCTGAGTATGCTACACAGACTGAATACTTTTACTAAAGACGAATAAATAGGGCTGGTGCCATGGCTCACACCTGTGATCCCAACACTCTGGGAGGCCGGGGCAGGCAGATCATCTGAGGTTGGGAGTTCAAAACCAGCCTGACCAACATGGAGAAACCCTGTCTCTATTAAAAATACAAAAAATTAGCCAGGTGTGATGGCACATGCCTGTAATCCCAGCTACTCGGGAGGCTGAGGCAGGAGAATCGCTTGAACCCGGGAGGAGGGATTGTGGTGAGCCGAGATCACACCATTGCACTCCAGCCGGGGGGACAAGAGTGAGACTCCATATCAAAAAAACAAAAACAAGTTTAAAATATCATTGGTCCTTAAAGTCATACATTCATTCTTTTGATAATTGCTATGTTGAACACAACCTGCTAACTGCTTTACAATGATTTAAGTAAGCACTAATGATTTGAACCCAGGTTTAATGCCTGGCTCAAAAAAAAAAAAAAAAGAATAAATAGAAGTGTGAAGAGGTCCTCACAAGCCCCACTGACAGAACAAAGACTATATTTGAACAAAGACTATATTTAAAGTGTCTTTCAGCACTATAACCTAAGAAAGAAGAGTAGCTGACAGCCAATTAGCTCCTAGCCAATCCTTACATTTTTTCTTTTTCATAATAATTGCTAAGGACAATTTTTAAATCCTGAAGGCATGAATCAAAAATTAAGGAGCCAGGTTCAGTGGCTCATGCCTATAATCTCAGTATTTTAGAAGGCTGAGGCAGGAGGATTGCTTGAAGCCAAGAGTTTGAGACCAGCCTGGGCAACATATGGAGACCTCATCTCTACAGAAAAATAAATAAATAAAATTTCAAAAAAAAAAAAAAACCCTGAAGAGCTGGGTGCTGTGGCTCCCACCTGTAATCCCAGCACTTTGGGAGGCCGAGGTGGACGGATCACGAGGTCAGGAGATCGAGACTATCCTGGCTAACACAGTGAAACCCTGTCTCTACCAAAAATACAAAAAAAAATTAGTCGAGCATGGTGGCAGGTGCCTGTAGTCCCAGCTACTCGGGAGGCTGAGGCAGGAGAACGGCATGAACCTGGGAGGCGGAGCTTGCAGTGAGCCGAGATCACGCCACTGCACTCCAGCCTGGGCAACAGAGCGAGACTCCGTCTCAAAAAAAATAAATAAATAAACCCTGAAGATCTCCTCAAAGTAAATTTTCCAATATTACTTCAAATGAATAATTAATCAAGACAGTTGTTAATAATACTACTTAAATATCTTAAATCTTCTCCTGCCAAGAACATCTACCCAGAGTTACAGATTTTTATCTGAGTACTCAGTCTCACCAGGGTTTAGGAAATGTTTTGCTTTGGAAAGACAACATCTCCAATCAGACTTTAACCTCCAACTGCTCCATTAAAACTACTCTTTATCAAGGTTACCAATAACTGCCACATTGTTAAATAGTTAATTCTCAGCCCTCATCTCAATTGTAGTATTTGACACAGTTGATCACTCCCTATTCCTTGAAACACTTTCCTCATTAGAATCCAGGATACCCTCTAACCTAGTTTTCATTTTACCTCTCCGGCTACTGCTACTAAATCTTCTTTGATGTTTCCTTCTCATCTTCCCGACCTCTAAACTCTAGAAATTAAGTTCTTCAACTGCTTCTTACTTCCATCTCTACTCACTCAATTGGAGATCTCATCCAGCTTTCTGGATTTAAATATAATCTATTTTAACAATACCCAGAGGTATATGTCCAGCAGATCCTTCTCTCTTGAATTCCAGATTCATAAACCCAACTGTTTACTCAACATCTCTAAGTGTTTTTTTTGTTTTTTGGTTTTTTTTGAGACAGTCTCACTCTGTGACCCAGGCTGAAGTGCAGTGGTGCAATCTCGGCTCATTGCAACCTCCGCCTCCCAGGTTCAAGCGATTCTCCTGCCTCAGCCTCCCGAGTAGCTGGGAATACTACAGGTGTGCCACCACGCCCAGCTAATTTTTTGTATTTTTAATAGAGATGGGATTTCACCGTGTTAGTCAGGGTGGTCTTGATCTCCTGATCTCATGATCCGCCCGCCTTGGCTTCCCAAAGTGCTGGGATTACAGGCGTGGGCCACCGCGCCCAGCCTTTTTTTTTTTTTTTTTTTTTTGAGCCAGAGTTTCGCTCTTTTAGCCCAGGCTGGAGTGACATGGCACAATCTCGGCTCACTGCAACCTCCACCTCCCAGGTTCAAGTGATTCTCCTGCCTCAGCCTCCCAAGTAGCTGGGATCACAGGCGCCTGCCAGCATGTCCAGGTAATTTTTGTACTTTTTTTTTTTTTTAGTAGAGATGGGGGTTTCACCACATTGGCCAGGCTGGTCTTGAACTCCTGACCTCAGGTGATCTGCCCGCCTCCCAAAGCACTGGGATTACAGGCGTGAGCCATGCGCCTGGCTAACATCTCTAAGTCTTAATAGGCATCTTTAATTTATGTCTAAAACTGAGTTTCTGTTACTTCTGTAAACTTGTTCCTCTTTCAGTCTTCTCCATTTCAATAAATGACAACTGCATCCTTCCAGAAACTCAATACAAAAATCTTAACTCTTTCCTTTCTTTCACAGCACATATCCCATCTATCAGCAAAACCTGCTAACTCTACTTGAAAAATACATCCAGAATTAGATCACGTGTAACCAGTCACTGCTACTCTCTAGCACAAACCACATTTTCTCTCACCTTGATTACAGTAATAGGCTCCAAACTAGTATTTCTGCTTTTGTCCTTGCCCAATCTACCACTATCTACTCAGCAGCCAGAGAAATGAAAATGTCAAAATATAAATCAGATCATGTCACCCTGGCCAAATACTCCAAAGACTTCCTATTTTGCTCAGTGTAAACACTAAAGGCCTACAAAGACCACCAGCAGCAGCAGCACCTGGGAGCTTATTAGAAATAGGCCCTACCCCAGACCTACAAAATTAGTCTAAATTTTAATAGGAACCCCCAAGGTAATTCATGTGCACATTGAAGTTTGAAAAGCACTTCCATAAAGCACCACAAAATAAGGACCCACCTCACCATTCCTCAGGCAAGCTTCTGTCTCAGGACATGTACGCTGTAATTCACTATGCCTAGAATGCTCTTCTCATACATATGCATGGCTCACTCCTTCACCTCTTTCAAGCCCTTACTCAAATGTCACCTTCTGTGTGAAGCCATCTGTGAACACTCAACCCCTTCCCCTCAATACACTCTATTCCTGCTTTCCTTTTACTCTTCTCTTTAGAATTTGTCATCACAAACTTAAAAATGGCATTTATGCATTATTTATTTATTTCAGGCCAGGCATGGTGGCTCACACCTGTAATCCCTGCATTTTGGGAGGCCGAGGTGGAAGGATCACTTGAGCCCAAGAGTTCGAGACCAGCATGGGAAACACAGTGAGACCCCCATCTCTACAAAAAATAAAAATATTAGCTGATCACAGTGGCATACACCTGCAGTCCCAGCTACTTGAGACACTGATGTGAGGGACTGTTTGTGCCCAGGAATGTGAGATTGCTGTGAGCTACGACTGCAACCTTGCACTTCAGTCTGGGCAAAAGAGCAAGACGTTGTCTCAAAAAAAAAATTTTTTTTTCAGAAAGAAAAATTGAGTCTTTGAGTGAAAACAACAGATATACCTATAACTATCTACAATGCCATAACAATCCTTGACATTGATAAAAATCTTTCACTCAAATTTTCTCATCTGATTCTCAATAACCCCATGAGCTGTGTAAAGCAAGTAATGATAAGCCCGTTTTAAAGGTGAGAAAATAAACATACTTCAACTCTCAAAGCATGGAAGTAATAATGTCAAACCTGGGACTGAAGTCTCAATTTTTAGTTCAAAACTCTACAATATCACACCTCCTCTTGCCAATGAAACTGAACCAGACTATGAAATCATATAGCCAAAATGTTATGCTAAGGGTACTAAGCTTTCCTAAACCATCCAGTGTCTATGCAGAATGAGAACAAATTCAGTTCACCCAAGTCACAATTTCAATTTGAGAAATAAGAATGCAAGCTACAGCTGGGCACAGTGGCTCACACCTATAATCCCAGCACTTTGGGAAGCTAGGGTGAGGGAATCACTTGAGCCCAGAGTTTGAGACCAGCCTGGGCAATACAGCAAGACGCTGTCTCTATTATTAAAAATAAAAATAAAAAATTTAATTTAAAAAAATTCCAGCTGCTCCCCGTTACTTGTAAGTCTAATCCCATGTCTTAATAACATTCAGGAAGAATGTAGGAAATGAGTTGTTTCATTATATGCATTAAGAAAATTCTTGTTGAGTTACAGTTGCTAGGAAAAAAGAGAAAATGGGAGAAAGGAAGATGGAACAAGTAAACGAATGAGAACTGAGTTCTAGAAACAAAAGTATAATTATTTTATACTGTTTTGAGTGTCCGGGTGATGTCATTTTGCAGTAGAAGAAAAAAAGACATACCTCCTCAAAATCCCAGCAATAGCTTCCCTTTCTTTGCATAGGTGAGGATGAACAGTTGTAATCCAAAAGGTTTCCCAAAAAGTTATTTTTAAAAAAGACATAGAAACAGAAGATCCATATGAAAAACAGATCCAATCTGGGAGGATGGACACTGTGTCTTCTAAATCTTGTGACCAAGGGCAACTGCTCACCGAGCGTCAGCATCTGAAGAAAGTGCTAACTGTGGATGTGTCTTCTCCAGAGATTAATACCTGCTGGGACAGAAGAGCAAGAAACGGAGAAAGAACTACTGAATGCAAATGACTGTTGGACAAACAATGACAGGCTGAGCATCCCAACTTTGAAAGGCCAAAACCCAAAATGCCCCAAAATCTGAAAACTTTTCGAGTCCCAACATGATGCTCAAAAGAAACACTCATTGGAGCATTTCAGAGTTCAGACTTTCCAACTAGGGATGCTCAACTGATAAGTATTAACACAAATATTATGAAATCTGAAAAAATCTGAAATACTTCTGGTCTGAAGTATATCAGTTCTCAGGCTGCAATTTTTTTTTTTTTTTTTTTTTTTTTTTTTTTTGAGACAGAGTTTTGCTCTTGTTGCCCAGGCTGGAGTGCAATGGCGCAATCTTGGCTCACTGCAAACTCCACCTCCCAGGTTCAAGTGATTCTCCTGTCCCACCCTCCCATGTAGCTGGGATAACAGGCGCTTACCACCATGCCAGGCTAATTTTTGTATTTTTAGTAGAGACTGGGTTTCATTCACCATGTTGGCCAGGCTGGTCTTGATCTCCTGACCTCATGATCCCCCCGCCTCGGCCTCCCAAAGGGCTGGGATTACAGGCATGAGCCACCACGCTCAGCCTAAAATTTTTTACATTAACATTAGCGAAGAAAAAGTGATCACATGGAGGTAACACCAGTGACCACGCCCAGCTGCCACTGAGTTATCAATGACAGCAGTAGGCAAAAGTACACTTCGGCAGGTAATCCAGCTCTCTCTCTGATAATAGTAAAGAAAATATTAAAATCTATTTCAAGTTTTTTGTAGCAAAATGATGGTCACATCACACAACCAATCATAGATAAAGATTTGTCTGTAGTCTGCCAAACAGAGCAACCATTCTGGCAACTTATAAAACAAATATTGTAGAACTACTAATGCAGATGTCCACTCTCAGCAGAAAATGTAGAATAATCATATAAAAAAATGTAGGTTTTGGCAGAGAAACTAAAAGTTAACATGAAAAGAAAGTGATATAAATGTTAATATGACATATAGGGTGGTTTGTATACCCTTTTTAGCTAACATAAAGAACAAGAAATCTGTTACATTTTGGCAACAAATTAAGGCAGTATTGATACCTGCTACATCACTGCATTTCTATCAAACCACAAATTATAGAATATATAAAATGAAATACATTGGATGGAACTAGCAGCAGTCAAGACACAGAAGAAGGAAAGATAAGTAAATGTAAAGACACATCAATAAAAACCATCCAAAATGAAACCCAAAATATAAGACCAAAGAAAAACAGCAGAGCATCAGTAAGGTATGGGACAACTTCAAGAAACCTAGTAATATATATGTGATTGGAATCCAAGGAGGGATGTGTGAATATTTGGAGAAATAATAGCCAAAAATGTTCCAAACTGATGAAAAGTATAAACTCCAAACTCAAAAAGCTTAACAACAAGAGCAAAAAACTCAAAGAAAGTTTTATTCCACCAGGGAACAACAAAATCAAATTCCTTGAAACCAGACATAAAGAAAAATCTTAAAAGGAGCCAGAGGAATACAGAACGAGAGAAAACATTTACAGATCATCTATCATCCAGCATATACAGAGACCTCTTAAAACTCAAAACAAAAAACAACCTGATAAAACTGGGCAAAGGATATTTCTCTAAAGGAGATACATGAATGGCTGATAAACACATAAAAAGATGCTCAATATCATAAATCATTAGGGAAATGCAAATCAAAACTACAATCAAATACCACTCACACCCATTAGGATAGCTATGATAAAAAAAAAAAAAAAAAAAAACAGAAAATGACAAGTGCTGGCAAGGATATGGAGAAAGTGGGACCCTTGTGCACTGTTGATAGAAATGTACAATGGTACAGCCACTGGGGAAAACAGTATGGAAGTACCTAAAAAAATGAAAAATAGAATTACCATATGATCCAGCCATTTCGTTTCTGGGTTTATAGAAAAAAGATTTAAAGTGGGGGTCTGTAAGAGATATCTGTACAGTCATGTTCACAGCAGCATTATTCATGATAGCCAAAAAGTGGAACCAACCCAAGTGTCATATATGGATAAGCAAAATGTGGTACATCATACACAACAGAATACTATGCAATCTTAAAAAGGAAGAACATTCTGAAAAATACTACGACATGGATGAACCTTCAGGACATTATATTAAGTGACAGGAGACAATCACAAAAAGACAAGTACTGTATGATTCCACTTATATGAGTTACTAGGGTAGTCAAATTCAAGACAGTAGAATAGTGGCTTCCAGAGGTTGGGGGAGGGGGTCTGGGGAGTTAGTGTTTAAAAGAGTTTCCGTTTGCAAGATGAAAGGAGTAATGGAGATGGATGATAGTGATGGTTGTACAACATTATGAATGTATTTAACATTACTGAACAACACACTTAAAAATTGTTAAAATCAGCCAGGCGCGGTGGCTTATGCCTGTAATCCCAGCACTTTGGGAGGCCAAGGTGGGCGGATCACCTGAGGTCAGGAGTTCGAGACCAGCCTGGCCAACATGGTGAAACCTTGTCTCTACTAAAAATTAAAAAAAAAAAAAAAAAAAATTAGCCAGGCATGGTGGCACACGCTTGTAATCCCAGCTACTTGGGAGGCTGAGAAAGGAGAATCGCTTGAACCTGGAGGTGGACGCTGCAGTGAGCTGAGATCGCACCACTGCACTCCACCCTGGGTGACAAAGTGAGACAATCGATCAATCAATCAATAAGGTTAAAATGGGCCAGGTGTGTTGGCTCATGCCTGTAATCATAGCACTTTGGGAGACCAACATGGGAGGACTGTTTGAGCCCAGGAGTTTGAGATCAGTCTGGGCAACATGGTGAGGCCCCATTTCTACAAAAAATTGTAAAAATTTGCCAGGAAATTTTTGCCAGGAAATTGCATCTGTGGTCCCAGCTATTCAGGAGGCTGAGGTGGAAGGATCACTTGAACCTAGGAGGTCAAGGCTGCAATAATCCATATTCACACCACTGCACTCCAGCCTGGGTGACACAGCAAGACCCTATCTCAAAAACAAAGAAACAAAAAATGGTTAAAATGGTAAATTTTTAATTATATGTATTTTAACATATTAAAAAATATATTTTTTGAGCTGGGAGCGGTGGCTCACACTTGTAATCCCAACACTTTGAGAAGCCAAGAGGGATCAATCACTTGAGGCCAGGAGTTCAAGATGAGCCTGGCCAACATGGTTTCACCAATATGGTGAAACAACATGGTGAAACCTCACTTCTATTTTATTTTATTTTAGAAATTAAAAAAATAAATTAGAGAAAGAAAAAATATATTTTTTGAAAGAAAAATAAAAGCAGCCAGAAGGAAACAACCACACATTAAATACAGAAAAAATAAACCCAATGAAAGCAGATTTCTCATTGGAAACAATGCAGGCCAGAAGATGGTGAAACAGCATCATAAAGAAAACGTCAACAGTAATTACATATCCTTTGAAAATAGTTTCTAAAACTAAAAAAGAGTCTTCAGATAACCAAATACTAAAAGGATTCATTATCAGCAAATGTACACTACAAGAAACATCAGAAATCCTTCAATCAGAAGGAAAATCATACCACACAGAAACCTAGACCTATACAAAAGAACAAAGAGCACCAAAAAAAGGTAATATATATGAATAAACAAACTATAGATGCATACTGGACAAAGACTTTTATAATAGTATGAGCAGAATCATTTACATTATTAAAGAAAAAAACGGTATCAAGAATTTTCAGGCTGGGCGTGGTGGCTTACACCTGTAATCCCAGTACTTTGGGAGGGTGAGACGAGAGGATCGCTTGAGCCCAGGAATAGGAGATCAGCCTAGGCAACATAGTGCGAACCTATTTCTACAAAATAAAATAAAAAAAGAATTTATACATATCTTCCAACATGCCTGTCTTCCACAAACTTCAAAGTACCCTGATTATTAGAACTCAGTTCCCATTACACTTTCCTATAAATCAGTCAATATTATTTCTTTATAAAATGAAGCTCTCAAGTACAATCTATTTGTCTGATAATGGAGTCTTTTGAAGAAATAAAATTAAAACTAAAATCTCCTTGTTTCCAGCTTAGTATTCTACTACACAAACAGTGGTTTTCAAACACTTTGAAGGGCTTGCCTACAGAGAAATTTTTTTTGAGATTAAAAAAATGGCGGTCAATATATAATTTATCTATTTTTTTCACTGTCTCAATGGAACCCAAAGTCATTTACAAATAAGCTACAGCAGGCCAGGCATAGTGGCTCATACCTGTAATCCTAGCACTTTGGGAGGCTGAGGCAGGCAGATTGCTTGAGCACAGGATTCAAAACCAGCCTGGGCAACATGGCAAAACCCATCTCTACAAAAAATGCAAAAATTAGCCAGATATGGTGGGACACACCTGTAGTCCCGGCTACTCGGGGAGCTAAGGCAGGAGGATCGCTTGAACCCGGGAGGTCCAGACCGCAGTGAGCTTTGATTGCACCACTGCACTCCAGCCTGGGCGACAAAGTCAGACTCTGTTTCTAAATAAATAAATAAATAAGCTACAGCAAAGAATGTTCCTTGTTTTCAAGAAATCTGAAAAAAACAATAGGTTTCAATGAATTGGTCAGGTTGCCCCAAACTGGCAAAAGAAGAAAACTTTTGCCAAGTCTTCCTGAAGAAAGTGAATTTGTCAAAGCAAAGGTGTCAAAGCAATCGCTGCAAAACAAAGCTTTGGGGTCAGGTGTTGAAGTAGAAAAACGATCACCTGAGGTCAGGAGTTCAAGACCGGCCTGGCCAACATGATGAAACCCTGTCTCTACAAAAATTAACCAGGCATGATGGCGGGTGCCTGTAATCCCAGCTACTCGGGAGGCTGAGGCAGGAGAATTGCTTGAACCCAGGAAGCGGAGGTCGCAGTGAGCTGAGATCACACCATTGCACTCCAGCTTGGGTGAGACAGACAGACTATGTCTCAAAAAAAAGAAAAAG